CTTAATTATATTATATTATTATTACTCCTTTAAATTAATAAAATTAATTAAAAATAAGGAATTTAAAGTAATTAATATTAATTAATATTAATTTTTATTAATTATTTTATATTAAATAAGTTTTAAGGTTAATTAAAGTTAAATAAAATTAAAAGAATTAACTATTTATTAATATTAACTACTTTATAAAATAAACTATATTATCTTTAATATATATATATATAATAAAAATAATCTTTTTATTTAAGCGTTAATTAATTATATTATTAAATTTAAGTTTTTTTAATATTTTTAAATAAACTTATAATAAAGTTTTTATAATATAAAATATTAAATTTATGTTAAATTTATATTTAAAAAAGTTAAAATTTTATTTTAAAATTTTAAATTTATAACTTTTAAGCTTAATATTTATTTATAAACTTTAATATAATTTCTTTTTATTTATCTTTTAAAAATAAAACTTTTAAATATTATTAAATATTTAATAAATTATTTAATAATTAAGTTTAATTAAAAATAAGATTTTTATTTATTAAAATAACTTCCTTATATTAATTATAAAGGCTATTAATTATATAATAAAAAGTATATAAGTAATAATATATAAAATTATAATTTTAAAGACTTAAGTTTATATATTTAAGGATATTAATTTAATATTTATTAAGTATAAAAGGGTTAAAAAAAATTAAATATAATTTAAAAAAGTACTTATAATTAGGTAATTTTAAGCTTTTATTTAAAAATAATAAAAGAAAAAGCAGTTAATTAATAAAACATATAATATTATTAAAGAATTAATTTATAATAAATTAATTAAATAATAATATAATAATTATAATAAAATTAAATATAATATAAAAACTTATAAAAAAATTAAAAAAAGATTAATTAATTAATTTTTAATTATATTATAATAAATTTAGCTGAATTAATATTAATTAATATAATTTTTTTATAATTTATAATAAATTACATTTTTAATAATATAATTAATATTATTTAATATAAAATATAAGTTTTTTATTAAAAGTTATTTATTTTAAACTTATAATATATTTATATTAATTATTTTAAATTAATAAAATTAATTAAAAATAAATAATTAAAAGCAATTAATATTAATTAATGCTAAATTTAATTGATTTCTTTATATTAAGTGGGTGTTATAAATAGCAAAAGTTAATAAATATTGCAAAAATGCGCTACTTAATAATATGCATTACTTAATAATAAACCATGTTATATTTTACCTTAATAATTAAGTTAATAAAAGTTAAATATTAAAAATAATATTAAATTAAGTTTTTTAATTTAATAATAAAAGTATTAAGCTTATCTTAATTAAATATTATAATGCTATATTATATATTAATATAAAAATAAAAGGGTATTATATTAATATTTTAATTAATTTACTTCTTTAAAAAGGTTGAAAAGTTTAAATTATAAGGATAGTTAAATATAAGTAAAGTAATTAATAATATAAGATAAGTAAGTAATATGAAAATAATATTTAAGCAATATATTTATAAAGTAAAGTATAATTAAACTTAACTTTCCCTTTTTTCTTTTTTCTTTAATTAAATTTCCCTCTTTTTATAATATAAGTAGCTTTTATAATATAAATAAGCGTTGGAAATGCTGCGTTATTTTCTAAGATGGATAAGTGCTATGGTTCTTTTTTAAGTAGATCCTTTCCTTATAATGAAGACCCTTAATAACCACCAAGGCCTGTGGCGCCGCCACCACCACCCTCAAGTTCCGGCCCGTATTAGCCACCATGATCATCGTAGTCAGGTCTATCTAGCGGGCTCGAATTTCGTTAAGGGGAGGTAAGAAGTGGTAGGCAGCAGCATAATCGTAAATTACGATTCCTTGATTTTCTTTTCTGCGTAAAAACACTTCGTGACCAATTTGCTAGTGAGTCATATACTAGTATTCTTCAATATGACAAAGTATTGAATCTTTACCAACGCTTCCAAATGCCTATGTGAGACCTTGCCATCATTGGTGCTATCCTTACAATAGTCTCGGCTCCAGAGTCTGCTCCATAGCACAGATATTATGAGGGCGAGGAGGGTGAATATCACTATGTAGTTAGCTGAGAGCAGTTCTATATTATGCGATGGAGGGGTACCCAGAGAGTGCCGGATACTTGAAGCCAGCAAAGAATACGAACAATGTCTATGTGAACTCGTCCATCTGTGATTGTGTTTCCGCCAGCTGTCATACCAACTCTATATCAATCGCCTTGAACACGCCGAATTCCACTGCTTCATCCAGCAGGCCACGTGCCTTCTCGTTCTCTCCTTCATCGAACATGAAATCTTCGATGTTCGCTGCGCCAACCATGGTTTGCTCGTGTGCCTCTGGGCGGCTAGGATCAACGGGTCGTATGACCCATGGGCAAGTCATTCCAAATGGGAAAACAAGGCAATCGCCAGCTTTCATGTGAACTGGTCCCATCCCAATGAGCCCCGAATCGGTCTCGAAAACGGCGACGTTGGCGAGGGTGTTCAAAGAACCCAAAAATTCACCTAGAGCCTCCCTTGATGATGTCTCAGTGTGCATCTCCTCCAGTGACACCGAAACCAGCTCCGAGGTGATGTCTTCATCGCGTAATTCACAGATTCTGTCCCATAGTTTAACCCAGAGCCAGTTATACTCTCTCGTGATTTTGGGAGAGTGGGGACTTAGAAGCCCCCAAACAAAACGCGTCTTCAAGTCGCGGGAATTCCGGACACAGTTTGGTCTGTAATTGTTGTTGTTGGATAGCCAATCCCCAAAGCCTTGCTCCAAGTCACGAACCAGCGGCTTGTAGGCATTAAATCCCTCCGAATCCCCCTCATGCCCGGCGCACCAGATGCGGGAAACCTTATCCAAATAGATGCCCTGGAGATGCAACACCCGCCCATCCTGAGACACTCTCACCTCAGCCGTTCTCCACGGTTGGCTGGGGCGAGGGGTCCTGACAACTGATAACCTGTGCTGCTTTGACAGGTCCGGAACCCAAGATGGAATACCGGGAATTTCCCCACAGTCGGCCCGTCGCTGGTAATTGAACTCAGACGCCAGATATGCCCTGAAATGCCTAGAAGTCCAGAGCATACGCATGAAATCATGAAAGATCTCAAGTGGATGCTTGGAGTAGTCAACGGTCATTCTCTCTTCATCACATGCAAGACCTTGCAGAGCATACACATAATCTGCCGGGTGTGTTGCCCATAATTTGGTTAAAACATTCACACCGACGTACATGGTGCCCAATGGAACGTAGCCATACTTTGGCATTTTGCTTCGAATGTAGTTCAAGGCCTCCACCCCTGGATGTGAGACTCCTCTCGAGGATGATTCTTCCTGGAGAGGAGCATTATTTGCGTATGTGCTCTGAAATATGTCGTAATACGTAACCCAATAGCCGGCTCTCTCGAAGAAGGCAACAGCATGCCGACAAACAGGGACAACCCGCTGCCAGCAAATGTGATACCTTCCAATGATGAGAATTGGGTCCCGTTTCGCTAGAAGAAGCTCTTGGATCACCCAAGCGCGGGTCCACCAAGCTCGCTCCAACAGATCACGATGAAAAACCACGAGAGCGCGCATTGCCCAGGGCGTCGATGCTGCAATAGTTTCGGAATGCTCGGTACTGACGGCTTCAAAGGTCTTTCGAAAGTCTTCGTTGTCGAGCAATGGTAATAGCCAATCAGTGTCGAAGTTCCCCTCTCCGAGCCAAGGCAGTACGTGGTGAGCACGTTGGTAGACTTCGCGCATCAATCTAACCTGTTGATTGCGCTCTTCCGTATCGTCTTGGTTGATACACACTGCATCAACCCAAAGAGGTAGCCCTTGTGTTACCTCAAAATGATGGTCTCGAAAGTGACGCAAAGCACTTTCCAAGTTCGACCGGACTGGAATGATGGTCCCATTGATGACGATATTTTTCAGACTTTCCTTGTCTCCCCATACGTATGAGAGCGCATTGAAGAGAGGCGGCCCCGGGATCTCATCAAAGAGACACGTTTTGAATATGTGACAATGAACAATTTCATCCCATGGATCCTGTCTTCTGAGGATCTGGAGCAACCGGATCTGGCCCGTGGATGCATCGAGGCGAGGTCCGTGAATGGCAGCGTGGTCTTCCCATGAAAGCTCCCCGGCCTCTTCGTCTGACTCAACAGGATCGGAGACTGAGGGGTGAGACCCAGATGACGCAGCGGAAATGGACGGAGGATGAGAGCTGTACGAGGACCAAGACTTATACCCGGAATCATGTTTGGGGTGCCGACATTTCTTGAAAGTGACCCGGACGCGGTGGCGCGATCGGACGAAGATGCGAGGTTTTCGAGCAACCATCCCGACCAAGGCGATTGGACCACTGGCCGCGCAATGGTTTTCACTTTGTCTTCTCGGATTTAAAGGTCTTTCTGATGTAGGCAAAGTAACCTTCGCGGATGAGAGTGATGAAATCAGGAGATTTCGTTGCCCATATCATGAAATGACAAAATGATGGAAGACCGTGAAAGTGTAAAGAGGAGAAGAAGGCGGCTCTGAGCCAGGTTGTAGTAAGCAGTAAGCAGCTTTCAGTCTCCGGGCAAGCAATGCCCCTCCTCAGTCCGAGTGACACATTACTGTACTTATCTACATACGGAGGCCAGCAGTGTCCGCCTACCAACCTTCTGGGTGCCGCCCATCCCAGCTCTTTGCGTGCGCGCACCCACTACAAAAGAAAATAGCTATTCCTACTACTAAAAAGAACGTACACCTCGGATTCGACTCAGATGACCCCGCTATTCGCCAAGACTACGTGCGTGGCCATGCAAAACTTGCATTAGGCATACAGTATCAGGCCCACTTAAACTTGGAACGGTCAGCGCTCAGGAGCACATGATTGGACTCCAATTGATGACATCGTACACCAACTAATAGAACTATTGACAAGAACAAAGAGCTAGACTCCTATAGTATATATACAGCTCAACACCCACTCCCCAAGCTTACAGGCTGTACCTGCTCTTGATGTGCCTCCACCAGTCACGCGCCATCCATGCATCGAAATCCGTTATCTCGGTGGCTGAGCCAGCCATCATGATGAACGAGTCCTGGCCCGTGGGCTGCCAGTCGTAGAAGTCGTCCAGGCCGTACGTGTGGCCCATCTCGTGCAGGAGGATGTGGATGTTCTCCGTGTCGAGGTTGTCGAGCATGTAGTCGACGGGCAGCTGCTGGCCCCAGTCGCCGCCGAAGCCGCCCATCTGCCCGTTCATGCTCTGGCTCAGCCACAGCGAGACGTCGTACCGGCCCGCCTCGCCCTTGGCGCACCCGCTGAAGTCGTTGTCCGTGTAGTGCATGGCGCGGCCGCACGCCGGGTCGCACTCGGGAATGCCGTCGACGTCGGCCGTGTCGGTGTAAATGTTCAGGCCCGACGTGTCGCCCTCGAGCAGGGCGGTGTTGTTGGTGGCCCAGCCGGAGATGGACACGTCCACCGACTCGTAGGGGAAGCCGTCGAACCCGGCCAGGGCCTTGGACACCCACTTGTTGTACTGGGTGCTCAGCACCGTCTCGAGCTTCTGGCGCTGAGCGGCGGTGATGGTGCTGCTGCTCGCGTCCCAGCGGACGCAGTACTGGATCTTGGCCTTGGTGGCCATGATGTGGTCATAGCCAAGGTTCTTGAACTCGGTGTTGTCCGTAGTGTACTTGTCCCAGACCTCTGTGAGGCCCTGGACGAGGTCCGAAGGAGGATCCCCTATAGGAGGTCAGTAAAATGACCAAAGTGCAACAGGCAACTGCGATATCGAGAACTTACATGTGGTGCTGGCAGCAGACGTGGAGCTGGCAGCTGCGACGCGACCAGGAGATGTGGCGGTGGGAGCACCCGACTGCTCACCACCGGGGTTTCCCCACCAGCCACCGTAGCCTCCACCGTAGCCCCAGCCCTGGGGAGCCCGCTTGGGCTTCTGCCTCTCGGCGGCGGAGCGGGAGAAGCCGCCGGCCTTGTCGAGCTGGTGGGCGGCGCCGGGGTGAGGCGCACGAACGGCCTTCTCAGCAGCACGCTCTTGGGTGGGGTGCGGCTGGGCCACGGCCGCGAGGAGGGAGAGAACGGTGACAGCCTTCATGATTTTGGTTGACGAGATAGATGTTGATGCTTGTAAGATGGGTGTGCTGTGTATTCGAACCCAAGAAGGGAGTAATGCAGATGGGGCTGAGATCTAGCTCGCAAAGAAGGACTTGAACGAAGGGTACCCGAGAACTAGCTCAGTGTAAGGAATGAATATGTGAACAGAGTCAAGACTGGTTGTTCTGCTCCTGGGGCTGGAAGTATATTCAAGGCTTTCACTTTGTACTTATACACCTGGGCTGCTCTCAGGGATGCCAAGACACGCCCCCTCAACTATCACATATCCTGCCAATTTCAGAGGCGGACGACATTTACATACGAATGGGGTCAACGAGGAAACTTTTCCCGCCCAGATCACTCCATTTTTTGTTCTGACAGGGGAAACACAAGCCAGATGAGGGATCTCGGAAGGCACTGGCCAACACCTTCAGGGGAAGACTGGAGTCGAAACATCCGGCCTAGGTCTGCTCCATAATCCTCCCCGCGTGGGTAGCTGCGTGTTGGGTGAGGATGGAAGCGCCATTCCCACCGTTGATCATCAGCCAACCCAGCCACCCCAGCTAGATGGGCCCGGCGGGCCAGGTCTACCCCAGAGATCGATGATCGATGGTACCTATTAGACAAGCTACCGAGCCTAGGTAATTGCGGGACGACGAATTCCACCCTCCCCGGGCGGACGAAAACGATAGTTATGCCATAGACGGTTAGCGGGCCCACTTTAAATCTTGATATCTCAAGTTAAATTGAATTTGCTCTCCCAGGCTGGCAATTGAATTAAGAAAGGGCCGGCTGGGGCGAAGGGTTGAGCGCAGCGAGTGGCCGGTAGGCCTTGCCTAAGCATTACTTAAGGCCCAACCCGGTACTCTTTATGTTCCTTAAAATGAGCGAGATGCGTTTTCTAAAGCGATCTTGGAGTTGAGAAGTGCCAAGATTTAAGGTAGGCCCGCTAACCGTCTATGGCACAACTATCGTTTTCGTCCGCCCGGGGAGGGTGGAATTCGTCATGCCGAGGTAATTGCCTTGGACCACGGCGTGGAGTAGAATTGTTCTGTGCTCCATGGCGGTTCTCTTCCTGCCATGCGAATCTCGTTGAACGAAGGCGGCCCACAAGTGTTAGCCAATCAACTTACGGTCCGTTGCAATCCCTGCAAGCGGTGGCTTACCTGCTTGGCGGAAACTTCATCTAAATCCCCCACATATGGGGATCTCCCGGCCCATAAGTGGAATTATCTTATCTCTAACACACAGACCTCCTTGGCTGCGAAGCTAAGTGTGGCTCAGGGGCTGCACTTACGTAAGGTATGGCTAGGGAGAACGGGCTAGCTTCGCGGCCAAGGAGGTCTATATCCAAGCTGCTACCTATATAAGGATTAAGGTACGCCCCTAATTTCTTTACTTATCCTTAATAATAGGTTTTTTTTTTAACTTCTTTTATTTTTTAGCAAATTTTTCTTAACTTATATAAATACCTTTTTAAGTTTCTTAAATAATTATTAATTATTATTTCTTAAGCTATACTTATTTTATTTAAGAATTAAAAAAATGGGATAAGGGTAATTAGGAAAAGTACTTTATATACTTAAGTTTCCTTAATTAATTAATATAATTGCATTTTATAAAATAAAGGAAATTTAGAAAAATAAAAATAAGGAAAAAAAGCTTAATTAATTCTCTTATTTAACATTTTATTTATATTAAAATTGCTAATTAAGAAGAATATATAATTAAGGAATGTTTAAAAGGCATTATTATCATTCTATATAAATGCATACCTAAGTCCTAAATTTTTTGCATTTTGGTTTTAAATATCCATCTAATGCGTTCATTTCGCACTGCCATACCAGCCACATAAATTACTAAGGAAGCATGGGCCCCCAGAACGTACGCGTTTGAATGGACACCTGAACCTTTGAGATAAGAATTGTCCCAGTTCGTCATCTTGCGGCTCACGAAACGCCAAGATGCAAGTGGTGTGGTCCTCTCCCCTGGGCCCAATGCGATTACCGAGGCGGCCGACTCGTATAACGTTGATTTTCATTGGGCCAGCCGCTGGAACAAATGCCTTGCAGAGGGATTGCCGACTTCCCTCATGTAAGTCGGCTTGGCATAATGTTTGTTTCGTTTCAAGGAGACAACCGAGCTGCCTCCCTGGTAATGAGCCGGTCACATTTTGCACACGAGTCCCGGAAACGCAGACTGAGGGACAGCGACAGGACGGAGTTGTTGATGAAGTCAATGTCCGAGCTGGTGGCCTGCCCTGCGCTGGAGTATTTACATGCTTATTTAGGTGACATCCATATGGGGCCACCTCGACCGGGCCAATATAAGCGAACCCAACTTCAAGCGCATCGATCTCAGCAATGAGATCCTGCAGCTTGGCACGGACTGATAGACCTCCTTTATTGGTGTAGCGCGCCCTAGGACCGGCAATCAAGATGGTCGTCTGGTCTTGCCAGCTTCCTGGTGGGGAAAGATGCAGTAGTCTTTGAGCCAAAATCAGAGCCGAAGGAACAAGCTATCAGCCGAACGGGATCTAGGACGACACCGTGGAGCATCGTCAGGTTCGGAGGTCGAAAGGAATTCCGACCGGACGTTATTCCCCATACTTGCACTCGACGGCCTGGCTGCAACGCGCCGTCAGGCTGCCGGGCACAGCAGTCAGCTGCGACCGAAGTTCAGCCGCCCCCTTTATTGTGTTGGAGAGATTCGACTGAGATGTAGGCTCACTGTGCCTCAGCGGCACCAGAATGCACATACATTGCAGCCATGCCGAGAATGCCACACCGACTTGGCAAAACAGCGAGCTCGCATGACTCGAACACACGAGGTGCTGACGGTGCGCAAGAGCTGGAACTGATTTAAGCACCAATATTGGTCCCCATCCGACAAGTTGCCAAGACTTGGATCGGCGAAGACTGATGGCTATGCAGCTGTGATCGTGCCCCAAGCTTCTTTCCTGGCCAGAAGTAAGCCCGACTCGCGCTGCTCAGCACGAGCGTCGAAGTCCTGCGTGTTTGACAATCGACGATAAAGGAATTTCTTCGGAATGTTGTCGATATTGTGACCCCCGGAATCCCTTGCGCTGCTCGACTCGACGCAGCTCAGGCGAGGTCGTACTTGCTTGGCAAGCATGCCGAATTTCCTCTCCACAGCCAGACATAAAGTACTGTCTGCAGTGAGAAAAGTGGCAGCGGATCACCCCTGATCTCTCAGAAATGATCCACCACCGTCAAGGTTGCTGCTGTTTGGCGTTGAACGAGTGGCAGGTGCCACCACACATGACGCGCGCAAGGCGAGGGATGTATGTCTGGCTCGGGCCAGCTCATTTGCGTATCGAGGGTGATCAGTGTCGCAGACTTCAGTGATGGACCCTTCTGAGTCATTGCCTAGAGAAGAATCAGTAGTACCATGCGACGAGCGCATTGAGAAGAGTGCAGTAATCGACGGCTACACCATGACCGAAAAGGAATAAAGAAGAAAAAGAGAAAGCTGGAGATTGAGGTGTCCATTAGGGCCCATTCGATGATGCCCGCTGCAAGAGGTTGCGCCCCGACTCTGTCGACCCGCCTTGCAGCCTACAAATGTAAGCCGCCTGGGCAAAGGAGGATGGCCGAAAGGGCGCGTGGGCATCAGCACCGACGCGTGACATGTCGGGCTGAAGACCACAAAGTCTATCATACATATCTGCTGGAGTTAAGCTCGGAGCCGCAGTGTCTTTCTTGGGGAGGGATAAGAACCGGAGGCAAAGCGGTATCCAGCAGCACCTCGGCTGCTGGATATGGCAGACAGCGTTTTAGCTGCTGCCGGGTATCCCGTAAGCGTAAAATCCGCCGTGACCGTAAACGCCGCGACTAAAAGACCAAGTAGAAACGTTCGGATGTCGCCCGGGTGATTCTCAAGGTACCGACCGCACTTCCTCCCCAACGCCGAAATCCTTGTACACCTCCCTGTGTCGTTTCCACTCCTGTGCGGGTTCGTCTGGGACAGTGAGGACGATCAGCCGGCTGCGTCATCCCCTTCCCTTGTTCACGAACGTGTTCACTCGTCGCAGTAGCCGAAAACCTTGCGGTGCACTTTGCGCAAGTAGTTTCGCTGCTCGCGAAACATGGCGTAGTTGCCTCCTAGTATGATCTCAAGGATGCTGTTGTGTTTCTCGCCTCTCGCGATCCGCTCAATCCTCTCTTGCAAAAGCTTGTGTGCCTCGGCGAAGCAGGCCTTGATCTGAGGGTAGTTCTGGGAACCGCCTGAAATGTCGTTTGCAGGATTGTTGGGATCGATGATGGACAAGCGGTCAGGGTTTTTGTAAGTGAACGTAGTGACTTGGTTCTGAGCCAAGAATATTTTGTTAGCGTTTGAGAACCAGATGGGGATTGAGTGCAACCTGCCTTGTTTACGTAGCCTGGTGGGTTGAGCCTGAGGGCTGTGATCTTGTAGTTCAACCTGTTGCCGTACAAGTCGAAAAAATGCATGAGCAAAGAACCAAGATTGTGTGCTGGCACCATGTCACCACTCTGGATCTGCGGCATCATTTGAAGCATGCTTACGACCATGCAAATGACAGAAAAGCCGCCGATACCGCCGTTCACCGGCTCGTTAAGGCCACGCATCAACAAGAACTGCTTGATGATAGTCACTAGAACAGGCATGACAGGGTACTGCTCCCTCCAAGCCCTGAAGGTTTGAATGGCAATAACACCACTGGGGTTTTCGAAGGAGATGTCAACCTTCAAGCCAGTATTGCTGTCGACATACTTCACCAAGGGAACCCTCGCCTTCGAGATCATCTCGAAATGGTTGTGGACTGCAACGCGGCTCGAACGGAGGTAATTCCTGAACTGCTTGAGCTGATTAAGACCCACAGGCAGCGTGCTACCTCCGGAGAGCACGGCGTCAGAACACAAGACAAGATCCATGTCGCCAGTTGGCAAGTACAAGCCAGACATGAAGGACCCAAAAGCATGCAGCTTACGGCCCCGCCAACTGCCGTTCTTGTCAAGGATGCGATTAAGCTCATTGACGAGGTTTCCACGAAGACGGTCTTCGAACTCACGTGGTCTCACCAAATCATAGAAGTCGCTGATTTCCATGTGGAACCTGCATAGTGTCAGTCAGCCTGGCTTCCGGAATTGTCAGCGGTGTCTTCAATACCTGACATTGACCTGAGTTGTCGAGCTTGGAGACGTAACCCACGGCGAGTGATTCTCGCCTTTCTTCAGTCGCCAATCGGAGACAATAGAACCTCCACTAGGCCTCTTAGGCGCAGCTTTGAGCTGTGCGTGAGCTGGTAGCTTCAACACATCATCGTGTGTGCGCTTGCGCGAACCTAAATCTGATGACCCGGGCAAGTCCATGTCAAAATCGACCCGCTTTATTGCCTTGTTAGCAGTGGAAGTCGCTAAGGCTTTGCTTGGTGCTGAGCTGGTGGCTTGTGCAGCCGACACGGAAGTAGGTTGCGGTGCTCCCTGGTTGTTCGAACGCTGGCGGCTGTAAGTCAGGGGATCGATGAACTCCTCTTCGTCCCCGTCGTCCTCACTACCAGAGTCGCATCGAATAAAGTCTTCGTCATCAGCAAGGAGCGAGGTCCTCGTGTTCTTGGCAGGTTCAACGCGGGCCTTGCGGATTAATTGAACCACATCCTTCTTCTTCTTGTCTGGATCTTGCTCAGGAGGCAGTGCAGTGTAAGGGTCCGGGTTGGACCACTTAGGAGCTTCATCGGCCAAAGTCGAATTGCCCGCTGTGCGCGCGCGCTTTGCAGTTGGCTGCGCGGCATCGTTTTCGTCATCCGAGATGTCCATGTCGGCCTCATCACTATCTGATAGTTGATCGAGTGCCCTGTAAGTCACTCCATTCTGGGCGTCTGCAAAGTCTTCCGTAGGCTTGTTGTTGTCAGTCGTGTGGAGGATAGCACGATCAGCTGCTATGAAGGGCCTCCAAGGGCGTCTTCCCATGTAGGCACCACGCCCTCGATTACCGTTTGGACGATACGATTGCCGATCGTTGTGAGGACCCCGGGCGGGACCGCGAGGCGGATCTGCTCGCGATCTGGGTTCGTCTGGGCGGTAGCTGGTGTATGAATCACCTACGCCCCTGGGTTTCTCCGAGCGAAAGTTGAAGTCACCCTGGGGTGGTCGGAATGAATCAGAGCCACGAAAGGTGGGATACGGGTCTTGAGGTCTCGGAGGGAGCGGGTGGTTGTCGGAACGGCGCGAGGGCTGGTAGCGGTCATCGCGATCATTGCGGGAATAACGGCCTCCTTGGTCGCTGCGATGCCCAGGAGGAGCGTAGGAATCATAGCCTGATGGGGGCGGGGGCGGAGCATTGTAGGAGGGAGGAGGAGGTGGTCGATAACTGTCGCCGCCGCCATAACCATCACTGACAGGTGGTGGGGGTGGTGGATAGTTACGCGACGCGTTCTGGCGTCGGTCCACCCCCGGGGGAGGGGGGTAGTACTGTGACATAGTACTTGGAGACAAACTCTCTCCTTTGATGGTGAGGGTGTGGGAGAAATGTTTGAGGTGTGTCCAGGTGTGGTGAGGTTGCAGAGTGATACACTCGAACAATGCTAATGTTGGCGGGCGGTTGCAGAAATCATGTGGACAAAGAAAGCCAGCAGTGACGAAGTTTGACTAGTGGGGATTGATTTCACACTGAGATGGTTCGCCGGCAGGCTAGCCGCAGGCCGAGTCTGGCTTGGGCCTGCCGCTTAGAATTGGTCTGCTGACGTAATGATTTCCTGCCATGTTCTGCTTCACTAACAGCAAAACGTCAAGCAGGATTGGAAAGTGTGGTGCGGGCAGGGGCGTTTAGCCCCTAAGGGCCCTAGATAGGCAATTTTTAGCTCCGAAGGTAAACTTAAACCTATTTAAGTAATACATACCTTAAATCCTCCAAATTGCTTGCATTATTTATAATGTAATATATTTTCTTATATAAGTTAAAAAGTTTTATAAAGGTTTTGCTAAGATTTACATTAAGAAAGCTTATTCTTTAATTTAAATCTTAAAATTAAAGCTAAGCATAAGCTAAATAACTTATATAATAAGAATAAATTAATTAAACTCTTAAATTTAAATAAAGCTAAAGCTTATATTATTAAAATAACATTGCGCTAAGTTTACGTTATTATATTAATTAAATTATTAAATTTTTTAAATTTATTTACTTTACTTTCTTTATTTTTATATATTTTTAAATTAAGATAATAAAGTTTTACTTAATTAAATATATATTTTTTCTTTAAGTAATAAATTTAAATCTTAAAATTATAATTTAAAAAGTAAATTAATAAACTAATTATGCTTATTATATATTTTAATTTATAACTTTTTTAAGGATTTTATTATTTTATTAATGCTAAAGGTAAAGCAATTTATATTAATAAAAAAGTATAAAGTATATTAAAAAGCCTTATTAAAGTTTAAAATATTATTAAAAATATAAATAAAAATTAATAACTTAAACTTTAAATTATTATTATTAAATTTAAATTTAAAACTTAAAAACTTTATTTTAAAGCTTGCTTTTTTATTATTATAAGAAAAATTTTAAAATTGCTTAAATTTAAATAATTTCTTTCTTAATTATTTAATATTAAATTATAATAGCTTGCTTAAATTTAAAACTTTTTTATTATATTTAATAAAACCTTTAAATTATTTTATTATATTTCCTTTCTTTATTAATATCTTTTTAAAACTTTTAAGAAAAAGCTTAAAGAAATATATTAATAATATAAAATTATATAGCATAAAAATAATACTTAATAATAAAATCCTTAAGGTTTAAGAAATAAAGATAGCTTTTTATTTTAAGTTAAAAAATATAGCTAGGATTAATTAATATTTAAAACTTACTTTAAATAAATAAGCTTAGCCTAAAGTTTCTATTCTTTTTAAGAATTATTTTTAAATAAAAACTATTAATTTAAATTATAAAATTAAGACTTAAATATATACTTTTACTTATAAATTTATAAAATTAATTTTAAAATATATATATTAAGCCATTAAGCTATTTTATTAATATAAAAAAGAATAATTTTAAAAGTTAATTTATTAGCTATTTTTTTACTTTTTTAATTAAAAAGGCAGTAAACTTTATAATAAGGATTAAAAAATTTAAGAATTAATTGCAACTTAATTATATATAAATAAGAAAATAAGGAGTAATAATATTTTAATTAAGGAATATATATTTAATAAGGTTCGTTAATATATTATTAATTATTACTTTTTACTTAATATTAAAATAAATCCCTTTTTAAAAAATAAAGTAATAAATAAGGCTTTTATAAATTAAAATTAAGTTATAAGCTAAATAATAAATATTATAAAGATAATATATAATTAAATTATAAAAATATAATTAATATTAAGCTTATTAACTTATTTTATTATAAATTAAGGATTTAATTATAATGCTTAATAAAATATAAGATAATAATTATAAATTAAAATAATAAATTAAAAATAAAACTTAATAAATAAGCTTGCTTATATTTCCTTAAATTAAAATAATTAAGTATAGTAATTATTAATTTATAATAGCTATATAAGCTAAAGCTTTATATAAGGAGAATAAGATAATTATAATACTTCTTACTTTTAAGTAAAAAGGTAAGATTTTATATAAATATATTATAATTATAATAAAAAAGAATATAATATTTAAGCTTACCTTTATTTTAATTAATTATTTAATTAAATTAATAAAATTAAGGTAAAGATTAAAGCTAAGAAGCTTATTCTTAATAATTTACGCCTTTTTTAAATATATAGCCTAAGCTTAGGCTTAAATTATAAAAATATTAATTAAAATATTATTATTAAAGAATTCCTTAAAATTAAGGAAAGTAATAAATAGCATACTTAATATATAAAAAGCATAAACTTAAATAAAAAGGGAAGTTTACTTATTAATAGCTAAAAATAAGTAAATTTAAACTAAGGCTTTACTAAAAAATAATAAGTATTTATATAAGGCTTATTAACTTATTACCTTATCCATATTAAAGAATATAATATAATTTAGTTTTCCATACCTAGCAAGAAATAAAAACTTAAAGGTAAAAAAACGCTAAGAAACTTTAATAAAGCTTAAAAAAATATTTAAGAAAATCTTAATAAGTAAATTAAATTAAAAGGCTCTTAAGGAAACTATCTTTATTTAAGGAATTAATAAATAAAATAATAATAAATTTAATATTAAGTTCTTATTATAAAGTATAAAAATTAAGTTAAGTTTAGCTTAACTTTTAAATTAATTCCTTTTATTAAGAATTTAAATAATATATAAGCTAAGTACTTAATTTAATAAATATTAAGAATGTTAATTTAAAGAAAAAAAAAGCAAAAAAAAGGTTATAAATGCAACTAAAAAGCTAATATATTATAATAAGTTTCTTTTTAAAATTAAAACTTTAACTTTAAAATATATTAAAAGTAATATAGCTAATATTAATATAAATTAGCTTATAGTAAATAATAATTCCCTAGGAAAATTAATTAAATTAAAGATAATATAATACCTTAACTTAATTATAAAAAAAGTTAAGCAAGAAATATACCTTAAGTTAGCTAATAATTTAATAGCTTTTATTCATTATTATATTAATATTCTTATTATAATTAAAGGAATTTTAACTATATATTAAGCTTATATTACTAAGAATAATAATACTTATAATATAATATTAAGTTAAACTTAATTATAAAGAAATTAAGTAATTATTAATTATAACTTAAATATATTAACCTTAAAGGGTTAAATAAGTATTAAAAGCATTATAAAGTTTGCCAAAGCAAACTTCTTTGCATTTAAACTACTAAAACTAAATTAAGAAGGCTTAAAGAAAGGCAATAAAGATAATTCCTTAAATAATAAAAGTAATTTCTTAAATAGAAATAACAAGTCCTTAGTAAATTCGCATTATATTAAGTTAATAGCCCTTTTAGCTAATATAAAATTAATAAAGATATTAAAATATAATAAGAATATTAAGATATAAAATAATAGTAAATCCTTAATATAAACTTAAAATAATAAGGTAAAAAATAAATTAATAACTTTCAGCCTTAAAAGGGTTTGCTAAACCTAATTTATAAAAAAGGGTGGAATATTTTTAAATGCATTTAATTTATAAACTTAATTAAATATATTAATTGCTTATTATTTTAAAATTATAATTAAATAATTAAGCCATTATCCCTTATTATTAAATTTAAATTAAAAACCATAATAATAATATTTATCTTATTAATATTATTAATATATATTTTTATAAATAAAAAAAAGGCTTATAATGCAGCAAGCTTATATTTAATTAATTAATTATTAAAGATAAATAAGCCTTAATAGGATTAAAAAAAAGATAATAATAAAATTATAGCATTAGCCTTAACTTTAAATAATAAAAATAAAATAATAAAGAAGGAGAATTAATTAGCTTTCTTTATATAAAACCTAAATATTTATAATAATATAAATTAAGCCTTATTTACTTTAAAAGAATAGGATTAAGGTAAGTAGGCTTTTAATATTATATTTAAAGATTTAAACTAAATTAAGAAGGATTTATTATTAAATTTAGCCATTTTCATTAAGGAATAAGGGCTAGGGGGGAAGTTAATGCTTTTAAGTATAATTAAAAAAATAATAATTAAAGCTATATATAAGCTAATATTATAAGGGGTTTACTTAAATTAAAATATTAAAAAGCGCTTCTTTTAATAATTATTATTAAAGGAAAGTTAATTAATAATTAATAGTTAATTTAAGAAAATAAGCATTACCTTAGGTAATATAGTAAATAGCTAATAATGCTAAAATTAAGCTTAAAGGTTAATATATACTTAAAGGGATTATTTTGCATTATTTTTAAATAAAATTAAGACTATAAACTTAATTAGCTATATTATTAAGTTATTGCTTAATATCTTATTATATTAATTAAGATAATTATTATATTTAAGGGAATAGCGCTAATTTACCTTAAAGTTCTTTTTAAAATTAAAAAAAGCTAAATAAATATAGCTAATAATTAAATTATAAGTAATATATATTAAGTTCTTACTTAAGGTTAATACTTTTAAGATAATATTTAATTATTAATTTATAAATAATATAACCTTATTACCTTAATAGCTTTATTATAATTAAGCTTATATTTTTAAAGATATTTTTTAATTAAGCTATAGGGTTTTCTTTTAAGGGAATGTAATATATAAATATTATAAAGTAATAATAACCTTAAGAAATAAGTATAAGGTAATAATAATTACTTTTTATATATAATACTTTATAAATTAAATACTTTAAGGC